AGAAGTATCAAAAGGTCTTGTTGCCACTCTCCGAGCTGTTCACAGTTTTATTTTTTGCTTTCTGCTTCGTTTTAGGTCTGGCTTTGTTTTATGATACTTTGATGCTTATTTCAAACACTTCATCACGTCAACTTTCTGTTTCTTGTGTCATCCTTTTTCTTTTAAGTCTATATCAGAGAACATGTTTCTACGTGTTTTGTGCCATTTTGATTTATGTTATTGTAAACACGCGTTTCAATCAAATTCAGTTAATTTCAATCCGAAGATGATTACGTTTGTGAATCTACAAATATTGGTCAGAAGCCACAGTAATGCTCAGTGAGAAATGACTTTGATATTGATCAAAAGCAAGTGAAGTGATGCGTAAAGACACACATAACAATGCTACAATAGTAAAACAAGTTTTCTTCTTTAAAAGTGGGCCACATTTCAGGGATTGCATAGAATATAACTCCAAAAAATCGATAAAACGCCTCAGGCAAACATTTACTATTTGATAAAGGATTTTTTTTTATATATAGGATGCTGATACTATACTCTAGTCTAAACTATAATTCTACTTTGAGAATACTTTACTGAATGATTCTCGCAATCAATTCTTTCTTTTCTCTTGATTAAATTCTAGTTTCGAGGAACGCTCTGGGAATAAATCGTGATATTCAAGAATCTAAGGCCATAGATCATACTGCACTGTATTATACGACCCCACAAATGTGTTTTGGACAAATGCAACCCTAGACAGGCCCTGGGGCCCATGATTTGAAGATCGGGGCGCTAAAATGTCCAATTTGATGATGAATATACATGATGCTGTAGGAGTTTCAGGAATTGGAAATTTTGATATAGTCCTAAAAATGTTTTAAATCATGAAAATAGATCATTCATTCACAAAGGACAAAAGGGTATATTCGAAGTGTCCAGACCCAAAAATCGATACAACGAATAAATTGATTTCTCATTCGTACATAAAATCGATTCGCTTATAATTTATAGTATTGTTAGTGAACCCTATTGCGCACCGGATATTGAATCATGTGTAGCATTTGCAACAAGGGAGTGCCGTTGCCTGGTAACCGTTTTAATTGTCTTTTATCGTGATAAAAACAGCATAAATCATATTTTACTTTGTCGAAAAAAATGCAGCTATCACTAAAACATGCGGCAGTCTAAGAATTACTATTGATCTGGTATTACTTTACGCCAACTATCATTTTTCTCTTTACCTGACCTGAGATCAGAATAAGCGTCTGGAAATATGGTTCTACTTCTAGACTTTTCTCGAACATTGTTATAATTAATATTCTATATTTATAACTGTCATTATGTTTTTTGTTTTTTTTTAAATTGCCGCAAAACTTTGGTATTTATCACTCTCGAGTCTTATGGAATTCCAGTCTTATCTGAACGACCTGTTTCCTTATTTGTTTAGATGAAATCTGGTATAATACGATGTACATGATTTGACTTTTATTAATCTACTAACTTTAATGTTGTTGGTTTAATTCTGAAGTTAATGAATAAATAAGCTGTTTTTGGCCTAGATTGAAAAGAAATATTTAAAAGATGTAAATCTTAAAATGTATGTATTCTAACCACAAGAACTTAATAGTAACAACCGCCAATTGAACCGGAACAGCTAGTTTCAACTAAACTGACAGGCAAAAGAAAGTTTTCACTTCAAAAATCGTTGTAAAAAAAGCAAAAAAGCTGGTACAGGTTTGAACCCCAACAGCAAACATTTGCCTAAATGCAACTAATCATAACCACAACGCAGATTATCGAAATCGTGCATGCATAAAAACGTGCAAATCGCGATATTGGTCCAAATGCACGTGCACGATTTCGGCATAAATATCGAAGTTGGACAGAACAGGCATTCAGTAAGGGAAAAACCACCAAAAGTATGCCAAGACTTACGCAAGCGCAATAGAGCGATCGGTATGTTAAATATGGGGGCTTCTCAATGGTGGCAGCAACGTCACTGGGCTAGAGTGTTCTTTACAGATGAAAGTCGGTTCTGTCTGTTCAGGAACGATGGCAGGGTTCGAGTTTTTCGACGAAGGGGAGAGCGACTGGCGCCAAACTGCATCACAGAAGTTCACCCGTTTTGAGGTGGAGGCGTCATGGTATGGGGTGGCATTTGTGGCCAGATTACAACACGGCTGGTTATCATCTGAGGGAATCTGAATGCCCAGCGATATATTGATGAAGTGTTGAGACCTGTTGTAGCGCCTTTTATTCAACAACGGCCAAGAGGATTAATGTTACAACAAGACAACGCAAGGCCTCATACTGCCAGAATTGTTCAAGGCTATCTGAACAATACCAACGTCGAAGTATTGCCCTGGCCACCTTGTTCCCCTGGTTGTGATCAGCTTTTCATGGCAAGGACAAGTGCAAACAGTGATGTTTCTGCAGTTGTGAGGATTGAGGCCTTAGAAATCAAGTTACCAGAGAATTTGTTTTCTACCCCCCAAAAAAATAAATCATGTAATTGTAACAGTAGATACAAGGGGGTACCATTTTCTAGTTAAGTGGTTGAAGGGAGGTAACTCTGTTTAGTAAAAGTTACAAGTGCCTGTGTTTCAAAAGGTGACTAATGCCTGTGTGCAAGGGCAAGTCACTCTTATGACATGAAGTTCTCTTCCATGTGCTCCTCAATGTTGATAAAGCCTATGAAATACCTAAGTTTTGTTTCTCTCCTCCCACAGGTATTATTTTGCTATAAAAGGCCAATTATGTTGCTGTCAATCTATAAGACATAGGTTTACTACACTATGTCAGTGTTTTAGGCCTTTGCCTCTGAAAATCTTGTATTTTCTATTAGTATCACACACATTGGATGGCCCGGTGCGGTAGGCCACTCCACGTGGTAATAGGCAACCCTTATTCATTGCGCCTTTGCATTGTTCTCTCATGTAATATAAGTTTACACAAGTTGATGTCCGTTGTATATTAGTTTGTAGACTCTTATGACAGGAAGTTCTCTTCCATGTGCTCCTCAATGTTGATAAAGCCTATGAAATACCTAAGTTTTGTTTCTCTCCTCCCACAGATGATCCTGTAGAAGGTAGTACGACATTGTTTATCTGTTGTTAACAGAGCTGTAGAAAGGGGTGTTGGTTCCAGTTGCACCATGCTATAGTGCAAGTATATGAACCCTTTCCTTGTGCTCTCCAGAAGTGTCTACCAGGCTTAGGTGTGCTGCATCGTATAATCCTGAGGTCCACCGTTGTACCGTCTTTAAAGCTGAACTTTAGGCTTAACTGAGTTACCCAGTGTTGTCATTATTTCTCATTCTCTGTGTGTCAGTCATCGCGTTGGCTAATCTGGTTGTTTTACTACTCACACTTCTCTGTTTTCACCTTCTTGGTGCAGAGAGGTGTAACATAATCAAGGCGACAATGTCAATTGTTTCAAAGCAATGTCAAATTTATTATCTATTTCTGACATATACAAAATGGCGGATCTCAGTTATTAACAAATGTCACAATTTTTTATCGGCCAAATTCCCTTCTCCAGATAGAGCTCCAATGACAGTCATTTTGAACACATTCTCGGGACACTGGGATCCATAGATTTCTATAAGGTTGATGAAAAGCCATCAAGCATATTTTACAATTTTATTGGCAAAGATAAACGGCATGAAAGCTTCCAATGCTTGACAGATCTGACCATGAGAAAACTGTATCACAAGTCCACCCAGCTTTGTGTAGACGCCCTAACAGAACAATAAAAGGCGCCACTATCTAACTATAATTTTGCATCTAATTTATTATCTGCTTTAGATAGCAGTTTGGGACATTTGAATACTCAAAACTTACTAACCACTACAATAGTAAGTAAACTACAATGAGAGCGATAACACCACAAGACAACACCGACACCCATGCTGAGTCTAAAAGCACTGATGCTACTTCTGGGCCCTGATTATGCTATGACACCCACAGTAACTCTTGGACAAATATTCTAATGTATTTTCTTGGCCTTATATTTATATTTATTTTTTTCTATATATTATATCATATATTTTCTGTTGATAGTTTCTGTTTTCAGAAAATACATGATATAATATATAGCAAAAATAAATAGGACTATGGTAATTTTTCGTATATACTTTTACGTATCCCCTTTTTTATTTTTCACATAGGCCCAGCGGGTACAAGAACATTTATACAAAGTGATCGTTATCACCAAAAAAATGTCATCATTGTTAAAACTAACAAAACATTACAAAGCTAACAAGCACTTGTAAATGAATAGTCTTTGCTTCGGACCTAGGCCCGTGCTTTCTGTGAATTGAATTCTCATTTCACCTTAAAGACCATTCACAGGTTAACTTTGTATTCCCGATGAAAAATTCTGTAATCAGGTAACCCCCCCCCCCCCCTCCCATAGGCTATGTATAAAATAAATTTGTTCAATACCGTATGGCTTTATAGCTGTAAAAACAGCCATCTTTACAATTAATAGACCTATTCGTTTTCTAAACAATTTCTGTTCGAAATTGATGATTATGACAAGCTCGGGGTTTCGTTTTAGTTAATTTATTCTAAGTTAATAATCTTACCTGAATTATGGTGTTTTCCATAAAGATATATTCACATATGTTATCGAAATTATCTAAAAATCCCTGTAGACATTTTATATTCTCAAACAAAGACAAACAATCTCGTAACAGTTTTACAACGGTCACAAGATTTAATCAGGAAATATTGTCTAGGTAAAGGTTATTCTCTAAATTTTAATTTTAAGGTAGAAATATCCACTTTATATAAATAAAAACATTCTATATTTGACTGTTGTGTGACTGTTACATTCGCCATTCTCCGTATTGTGGGTCATAAAGAATCGTCGGACGTATTTCATTGATTTCAACTGATCTATTGTAACATTCTTAATCATTATAATATTATAATAACCACAGCATTCAAAGCAATAGGCCTATGACACCTATTCAAAAGATGCACAGAACGTTTCCAAGCGCAAGTATTTGTAACCTAAAGTTCTATTTTACCGAAAAGATTTTTGTTCATATAGAACATGTCTGATTCTGTGGTGTCTAAAATAATAAATAATTTCAAATAAATAACACAAGCTATGCCGTATGACCAAATTTAAAAAAAAAAATTTAACATGGAGTTATTATGGATATTTTGCGGTCATCGATAATATTAGTGACATTTTTAAATTTACAATCCTAATATTTATTATTTTATTCTATATAATGTTACGTATTAACTATATCTTTCTTCTTATTTGGGTAAACTTAAGTTTATTAATAATTCATTAGTGAAATGACATGCACGCCATGAGTTTCTTTGTGTTCAGTCAGTCGCTAAGCAATAGGGGAAGTAACTCAGGTATTCAACAGTAAATCAATATTTGGGCCGACTCTAGTAAAGCATTATATTATGCTAATGTATTCCATGCTATTTTTAGAAAGCCTTTTCTCCCTTCCTTTTTTGCATGCCCATTTATGACTAATTTTTTGTCTAGACTTGGAATTTGATGTCTGAAATTGCATTTTGTGAGCCGTTCTTATGTTCCACTTGAAGTAGGCCTATTAGACCCTCCTGTTTCCATTTGTGTCTTGATAGTTGTGCCTGCTTACGTAATTCTTAATTTTTCCTAGAGGGGTATTAAATATTGTGTATTGAGAATGAGCGTGATTTCTGAACTTTGTGAAATAAATCTATGGAGCGAATTTTTTTATATTCTTATGAAAAGGAACCCCGTTTTAATCCTTTCCCATCACACGGTACTTCACTTATGTACCTCTTTATGATCTCAATATTTTATCCACTAAAATTCGACAGGATGATGTTCTAAACCCTATTCTGAGTATTCTCATCAAATTTCATCGCAATCGGATAAATTTTTCAGCTTTAAAACGATTTTTTTGTTGGTAAAAATATTGCACACTTCATAGAAGATGTTCGAATGTCGATAAAAGGGTAACTTCAAAAGTTAACTGAAGGACTGCCCAGGGTAAACTTCCGAGACAATTCATAACAAAACAAACATACATAAGACCATTTCTGAGACGTTTCGTACAGACATAATATAATGTCGCAGCGTGCAAATATTAATTTTTTTGATACTTCTTACGGATCGAATATTTGTTTCGAACAGTTTGGACGTTTCATAGCGTTTCTACAAAATTCCATGAATACTGTAAAGTACCTTACGCTACAAGTAACCGATATATGAGGCCCAAACATAGCACACTTCAGTATCATACCCAAATCAAATTTGATGATCGGAACTGTTTCATTTATTAATACTTCGACCCACAAACATAGCGAATGTCTCTCGAGGACTATGAGCCATCCCAGTGACACATATTGCCAGAAACAGGCTTTCAAAACCAGAATATATCGTGTATAAATTGCTCACACTCTTGTTTCAACTCTTGGCATTATAACCCACAGACATTACCAATGACTCTCAGGGATTATAAGTCACCTGATTGACCTACATGTCCAACAGCGGGCGTTCAAACCAAACATGTGACTAAATCGTGTATAAAAGCCAAATTGCTTACACTTCGCTAAAATACCACTACCAGAAGTGATGTTCATAATTGCCTCATTTTTTAGTAATGTATATCTCAGACATCGATATTGAGCCTCATTGACTATGAGTCACCTCAGTGACCTACATTTCCAGCAACAGACCTTCAAACCTATCGCTATATCGTGTACATAAGCCAAATTTCACTCACTTCAGTTTTATACAACTCTACCGGAAGTGATGATTGGAATTGTTTTAACTTTAACTTTTAGTAATGTAACCCATAGACATCGACAATGACTCCTAGGGCCTGTGAGTCAGCTCAGTGACCCACATGTCCAACAACAGGCCTTCAAAAATATTGCTATATCGTGCATATTTCACCCACTTCAGTATTATACCTCTACCGGAAGTGATGATTATAATTGTTTCATCTTTTAGTAATGTAACCCTTAGACATCGACAATGACTCCCAGGGACTATGAGTTAGCTCAGTGACCCACGTGTCCAACAACAGGCCTTCAAACATATCGCTATATCGTGCATATAAGCCAAATTTCACCCACTTCAGTATTATACCTCTACCGGAAGTGATGATTAGAATTGTTTCATCTTTTAGTAATGTAACCCTTAGACATCGAATATTGTGAGCAATTTATACACGATATAGTCCTCGAGAGACATTTTCTATGTTTGTGGGTCACAGTATTAATAAATGAAACAGTTCCGATATGTTTGGGCCTCATATATCGGTTACTTGTAACGTAAGGTACTTAACAGTATACATGGAATTTTGTAGAAACGCTATGAAACGTCCAAACTGTTCGAAACAAATATTCGATTCGTAAGAAGTATCAAAATTAATATATTTTCACGCTGCGACATTATATTATGTCTGTACGAAATGTCTCAGAAATAGTCTTATGTATGTTTGTTTTGTTATGAATCGTCTCGGAAGTTTACCCTTGGCCGTCTTTCAGTTAACGATTGAAGTTCCTATTTTATCGACATTCGAACATCTGCTATGAAGAGAGCGATATTTTTACGAACAAAGTCGATTTAAAGCAGAAAAAATTATCCGATTGCGATGAAATCTGGTGAGAATACTCAGAATAGGGTCTAGATCATCATCCTGTCGTATTTTAGTGGATAAAACATTGAGATCATAAAGAGGTACATAAGTGAAGTAGCGCCAAATGATCGAAGCTAGTCCTAGTCAACTGGGTGTTTATATCCGGTAGTGGTCTACTTTCAATTTGACTAGTTCAAAATTTTCATGGTCATCATGTATTGATTTTTTGAGGAGTGGTATTAGTAGTGGTTAGAGATGTTCTTATGCATTGACAGCAATTAGCGACTGTTATTATGCCGTTAGATAGATTGATATTAAGACATTTTAGAATTAAAATAAAGACATATATATTTACAACCAATATAGTTTGTGGTCGCTATATTTCATTGACGAAGTATTCATAGACAATAGAAACTGATAGGCATTAGATAGATAATGGCAACCAGTAGGCCTACCGATATACTCAAAAGAGAAGTTTGTGAAAAGAGACTAAACGCTTCGTTTGAAAACTTAAAAGTCAATCAGACAAGTTAAAACCGTTAATAGCCCAAAAACAAGAAAGTAACATCAAAGAGAGGTATGCAGAATGGATGACAAAATATGAAGATTTTCACAACCAGCACGACGAATTTTGTCAAATCCTTGACAAAAAGGATAAACAAACGTACTTTAATGATTACTTTGACGACAAAGATGTATATATCAATAACTTTAAAACTTATAAAATAAAAAAATATTGAAAATTGGTTTGCAAGTGATGAAACTAGGCAACAGTCTGACAATGGCAGTATTAGTCATCATACCAAAGATAAAAACAGTGAGGCTGATAATGGTTTACATAAATCCCATTATGGTAGCCATCGCCCTAATTCTAGTATCCATTCCAGTCATAATAATAAATCCGCCCATGGTAGTCTAAGTCATCACTCCCAATCAAACCACAGCAATTATTCTAGCATTCATATCAATCATCCCTTCATTCATAATAGTCATCATACAATAAATGGTAGACAGGCATCTTCTAATCATGGTAACCAAAGACCACACGATAGAAGACACTCCATCCAAGTACCTGACACATACAGTATAAAGTCAGGATCAATAAACAGTCATCTTATGTCTAATGAATCACAACATTCCATAAATTTTCTTAAACATAAAGGAATTGAACTGGAAGCAAAGGCCGAGGCTTTAAGTACATTTCAGAGGCTCTTAAGCAGCTGAAACATTGATTGAGTCCACTGTGCTGAATTTGAAGAAACCAGCATGTGTTGTAGAAACATTTAATGGTGAATTGACACGCTATCGAGAGATCTTTGATCATAAACAATACCTCACTTAGACCAATATACAGGAGGAGAACCTAATGGCATCGTTAGTTTAAGCTACCTAGATTCACAGAAGAAGATATTAGAAGAGCTGGAGATCAGATATGGAGACAATGAAAGAATAGGAAATAAGTTTTTGGATAAGGCTCTCGAATGGCCAGATTTTAAGTCAACCAATCCACAGGCTTTAGAAAAATTCTAATGTATGTGTCACGGTAGAAACTGAAATCCAGAAGAATTTAAAATTCCCCTAGGACAAAGTCCAATTTTACTTTGTCCTAGTACAAACTCCAATTAGAGTTTCCAAACTAAACTAAAATTAAACTTTGTCCTAGGGTGAACTCAAATTGTAATTTGAGCCTGTCCTAGGACAATTTTAAATTTGACTTTGTCCTAGTGTGAAAATAAAATAAAAACTTAACATCACAATATATAAGCACATAATAGCTCATAAGCACAATATAAGACCACAATGTAAATGTAAATTACATTTAGTAGCAATATTAGCACATTACTTTACAATACAAAAGTCCACATAGTTCACATCACCCTCTGTTTTGACACACACCAACAGTTAAAGTATGACATTTGGTTGAGCAAGCAAGTCCTGCACGTTTACACTGACAACGATTAGTTACACAACTGCCTTTGCAGGAACATACAGTCTGTGTTTTCCAATTGTTATACAACCTGGATGCTTGGATGAGTGTCACTGGCTTTAATGCACTTGGATCCGCTTTATCAAGGTCTGGGAAACTGCTGCTGCTAATTTTTATGAGCTTTTCACCTCTGAAAGTGTCTTTCAGAATGCCAAAACTACAGTAAAGTTCATAACAAGTTGTGATGCCACTCTTCTTGGTATTCCGAACTTTGCAAGGTAAAACTCTAGCGTCTGTGTTAATCCGGTCTGCTTCATGAATGGGCACTCCAACAACATCCCCAACTTCATACTGCTTACACTTAGATACTGCTTCATTGTAACGGGATTGATACTTGCTGGCGGACTTCAAATATTTCCCAGTAACGATTTTCTGACCTTGCTGTGCGGAGTACTTGGCTGTGAGATTGGGTTGGCTTCTGCTAAAGACCACAGCGTGAACTGACCTTTTTGTAGTGGTTCTTCAAATGGGTTGCCTCTCTCAGGAATATGCTGCTTATCATGGTCACTGATGATCTGGAACACCCTTTCATGAACAGTAACTTCTACACCATGCACAATTTCTTGGTTCCTTACCTCAATTCCTGTGGCCACAATACTGCCTTGATGGCAAAGTTCTTGTTCTAGTCTACATTTAACTGCTGGTGTCGTTGAAGGACCTGGTTCTGGGTCTGCTACACTTGCCTGAGAGACCTCTGGTTCAATGTATTCTGATGGTATCATATCTTCATCTGTGAGACCTTCAGCGTCTAGGAGCTCTAACAAGGAAAACTCGGTACGCGGGTCTTGCCCAAATACTCCTGCATATGATGGCTTGTTTGTGGTACTGGTGTTGGAAGTGTTTATAGCATAGTTAACAAACGGAAGTCCCTGAGACCAACCTTGATCAGGATGTTCTTGTAACCACTTGCCTAGTTTCTTCTGAATGTCACCATTTCCACGCTCAACACATCTTTGTGACTGGGGGTGTCTTGGACGACCTTGTAAAATCACCAACCCTGGCCACAACTTCTTCAGTTCACCAATAACCTGGTTCACAAATTCTCGTCCATTACCAGAGTGAAGCAGTCTTGGACATCCAAATAAACAAAAAATCTGAACAAGTATCTCTGCCACTCCAACTGCATGTGTAGATACTAGAGGGTAAATCCAACTAAACTTAGTAAAATGGTCTCGCATGTGCAATATCCACTTGTACTCCCTGTCTGGTCTACTTGTCATGTCTATAAGGTCTATTTGCGCTCTTGTTAGTTAACCCAAAGATATGATAGGCTTACTGGTCTGTGGTTGTTTCAGTGGTTGACGAACACTACATTAATTACAATGGCCATGAAGATCTGAGTTAGACTATGAAAATAATACAAACCGGTTTTCGATATGATAATCGATTTTAGTCCTTGTTTTTCAGATCTTAAAAAGGGTCAAGTTTTTCTTGAATGTGTGGCCTTAACTTAAAAAGCTTGTGCCATACTACATTATATATTTCTGACATTGACAAGTGTTCCAACCACTTTAACTGTTTTTCATATTTTTTGTTTTGTCGGAGATAAAACACGAATAAGATAATCGTTATAACATATGTCGAGATAACCCCGGAAATACCAATGTACACTGTTAACAATATCACGGTTTTTTTATTATTTAAGAAACAACTCTTGAACAAAAATGCAATATTATCTTTCTTACGAATCTGTTTTCTTCCTCATTGTAAACTAGCAAATTAATAGAAAAATGTAATATTTAACAATAAGATTTGCCATTAAATATCTCAGATTGTGTGGTACAACGACGTATTTTATCTAGATTCAAACAGTATAAATCATTTTCATTTTGTCGAAAAAATGCAGCTATTCTCCCAAATCCACTATTACTTATCACTAAAACATCAGACAGACTAAGAATTACTTGATCTAGTATCACTTTACGCCAACCATTGCATACATCAGTTTTATTTGATCTTTCAACATGGAACACTTTACCTGGGACATCAGAATAGACGTCTGGAAATATGGATCTGGCTTTTTCTCGAACAGTGTCACTATCAGTACTAATAAATATTCTATATTTAGAACTGTCATTATATTTTTTATAAAATTGCCATAAAACATTCATATTGTTTAAACTATTTACCACTTTAGAGTCACGTGGAATCGTTGGATTTTTTCCAAGTCGTATCTGAGCACTGATCAATTTTAGTCCTTGTTTTTTCAGATCTAAAAAAGGGTCAAGTTTTTCTTGAATGTGTGGCCTTAACTTAAAAAGCTTGTGCCATACTACATTATATATTTCTGACATTGACAGGTGCTCCAACCACTTTAACTGTTTTTCATATCTTATGTTTTGTCGGAGATAAAACACGAATTCTAAATTTAAAGAAAAATAAATTACTTCTTCTTTATATTCTTGATCTAGATCCATTTCTATCATGGATTTCCTCAACTTGTCGCAATAACCATCTAGAGCCGCAATTCTCTTTGAAGTTTTATTTTTTATTTTATTATTATCCACTATCCAGTTAATTTGATTCGGTTTGAACATTTGTTTTATATCACACGAATCGTTCATTATTACACCAAATTGTCTGTTCAACATAACAGATATAATATATGAAGCCACAATTCCTTTTTGTCTATCACCATATCCTCCACATAAGTTCTTCCCATCACAGATATAAATAACATATTTTGAACTGTTGGCATTTGAATAACTGAAACCTGTGTTCACATCAGACGTTATACCAATATTCATATTCATAATATTATTTGAATACATGTAAATGATGGTCGAAGACGACAAACCAGCTACCAGCAGGACGGAGAACAGTAAATGCTGAATTAAAAAATTTTGTGTGTAAAATTTGCTATTGATCTACCTGCTTAATCTGAATTTCAAGTAGTTTTTGGTTAAGGTCATTGCTTTGGTTAGTTGAAACCTTCAGAATAAGTAGGTCACATATTTATCTGCAATTTGGAGTTTACTTTACTTAAATATGCGTACACCATGTTTCATACACTAACCAAAAGTATAGCGATTTCAAAAAATTGGTCCAAACATCCAGATAAAATAAGGGACACATTCTCTAGATTTTTCTCTATTCATTTTATTTCATTCGTCATAAAAATCACATAAAATCTGTAGTTGTGTCCATGAACAAATTTTGAAGCATTTTATCTAAGTCAAGGGCAATAACTCATCGAAAAATCATCGAGTTCAAACTTGTCCAAGATCTCATCAATATAAATGATCACACCAAATTTCATTAAAATCAGTTGAAAACTGTAGTCTCAATTGTGTTCGCCAACAAATTTTGACGCGTTTTTCCTAAGTCAAGGGCAATAACTCAAAAACCGTTCATCGAAAGATTGTCAACACCGAACTTGTCTAAAATATCATCAATATAAATGATCACAGTTGAAAACTGTAGTCTCTATTGTGTTATAAGCAATGAATCATCATATTAAATTAAATTTAACCTGTCTTGGTTGCATTTCCAAATTTGGTATCTGACCATTAACTCACGGAATAATTACCTGGTATTTTTTTATCCATGTAGCTAACATTCTGAAATAAATCAAAAAAATAAAATTTTGATAAAACATATTGGAGTGTAAAGAGAAAGTGCATCGATTTGCTAGGAAATTCATCGGTGCTAAAAAATGTTGCAAGCAGTCTATTGGTACTAAATAACTCAGTGCAATGTGTATAAGAATTAATAATTTTGCCAATTTCTAGTACACATGTTATGAAACATGCATTATGCTCCCCAAGTACAACAANC